ACACACATTCTCTGTCTTTCTGCCTGTCTCTTTCTCTCTCTCCATCTTGCATGAAATAGTGAGCGTACACAGATTTCCCTTGTTAAATAATCTAGGGTTATTTAAGTGTTTTAACTTATTTTTCTCCATGGCATGAATTACATCTGTAGCCTTTTCCTATTGTAAGATTTGGTTTTTGCTACAATATCCCACATAATAATGGGTGTATTACTAGTATTGCTTAATTACCAGCAATGTTTTGTTGTTTAATCATTTCGCCCCAAGAAAGGCAGGAGTGCCGCTAGTATATAGAGTTTTACCGAGAGTGATCGTGAGAGAAAAACCAGGTATGAGGGGGGGTGAGGACATTATAAAAGATGGATGGGGGTTGAAATCAGCAGAAGTTGGCGGTTGATGTTGTATTTAAACTTGATGATTTTAGTTATTAGGGAAGCAAGTAAACGAAATAGACTTTCACTGTCGGGAAGTGCGAGAAAAGAGATTGTTGGAGTATAAATGGCGATTACATTCAACTGTTTCAACAATAAAAGAGTGGGACTTGGATGCTAATCTAGTAGCATGCTTAAATTCATGTAGTCGAAAAACCGGAGAAAAAAAAAGCTTCTTAGGGCAGATAACATGAAAATATTTGTAGAAAAGACAGAGGAAAGCGACATCACGTTCTGTGACAAAGTGACTGAAGTCGAGATGCCAAATCAGGATCGATTACATTGCAGATCGTTTTTTTTGATTTTGTCAAGAACCTCGAAATGAACAGCATGTGCACCAGACCAGACATGGCAACAGAATTCCATGCACGGATGAATGGTAGATTTGTAAATGTTAACACTAACGAGAAAAAAATCTTTGGTACGGCAGAAGGATCCAACCTTCCTTGTAGTAGAAGCAACTATTGATTCAATGTAGTTTTTGCACTTCAAGTCAGTTGAAAACGTGAGGTCAAGAAGGCGCAGTGTGTTGCTCACCATAAGTCTAGCATCAGCCATTCTGAGGGCAGGCAGGGAGATTTCTCTATGATGGTTAAATGAGAGCATTTTCGTTTTGCAGGAATTAAAATTTACAAGACATTTCCTGACCAAGTTAACCACTGATTGGAGTTCTTTTTCAAGAGCAGCGCAGGTTAACTTTTTCAGCTCTGGCAGATTTCAGACAAAATTATATGGTAGTGTCATCTGCATAAAAACTTACTTGGGAACTGATGACACCAAGAAGATCATTGATGAAGATTAGAAACAGCATAGGACCCAGTATAGAGTCTTGGAGAACACCCGCGTTCGTGTGAAAGGATCTGGAATCGTGCCCGTTCCAAACAACCTTCATTTCACGATTTGAGAGGAATGATTGGATTAAATCAAACCATTTTCTGGTAATACCGTAGCACTGATGCTTACGTAGAAGACCAGCAGATCAAACCCTGTCAAACGCCTTAGAAATATCTAAAGCCACAGCACGCGCTTTGTCGTTATTATCAAAAGCTTGCTATACATATTGAGTAATGGCCGTATGCACATCAGCGGTAGACCGGGCAAATCGGAATCGATATTGTTTGTCAGAGAGTAGGTCATGAGATGTAAGATGTTTAATCATTTCAACACTGATTAAAGCCTCGGATACTTTGCTGAAAAGCTGTAGGAGACTAATAGTTAGAGGGGTCAGAAGGTTCACCAGAGTACTTAAAAACAGGGGCTACAGTGGAGGATTCCAAGAAGTTGGAAAGCAGGAAGCAGCGAGGCAATAGTTGTACAGCTTGGAGATAAATGGAGCCAGTTCCAGTGCACATTTCTTTAGGACGACGGCTGATATCCCGTTACCTCCATTTGCCTTATGTGTGTCTAATTTAAAAATGGAGAGAGCAGTTTTATCCATGTATTTTATATTGTCTAAAGTCATTCAATGATGATAGAAACGAAATTTCCAATGATTTTCAGTGGAACCAAAATAAAATTTAACATCGTTACCGGGATGTATGCTAGCACGGTATACAATATTATCAGTCATTCATTGGCTGGTTAAGGGACAGATCGTATATTTTGGCAGTTTTATAGTGAACATTGTTTTCTGTGTTGGAGATATATTTATTTAGTATAATGTTATGTTAACGCAGCTATAGCTGATATTCACATTTTTTGTTATTGTAGAGGGATTAAAATGTTTATGAATTAAATTTAGGAAAATTTTTACAGTCTTCGTTTGAACATTACGATTATAAGTTCTTGAGTGGCTTAAACTATGACATATTACGGTGTCTCTGCTTATTTTTACCTTTTTGTTTTTTTCTAAATATTCTAAATTGACTTTATGGTTGCTTAGTTCTAATGCTTTTATATATTTAATTTTATTATTATCAAATATTTCCTTATTGCTGGTGTTAGTAGATAATCTAACTGGACGGATTTATGCAAATTATTTAAAATAATAAATAGCTGATTGGACACATTATTAACGTATCTATGTTTATGTAGGTATGTACGGTTTATAATAACCACTACACAAGTTCAAGGTCATATTGAGAAAGTTGATCCCTTTTTTCACTGATGGTTGTGGTAATTTTTACTTCGTGATCTTTGAAAGATTTTCTCAGTTCCTTTCTCGATCAATGTATGTGCCTTAGACTTGTTTTACAGAGGAGATTTACACCGTCATCTTTGTAATTTCCGATGCCCTTAATGTTGAAAATAAATCTTACTCGCCACAATGACAACATTCCAACAAATTCAAATACCTTAGCAGAGTCAAACTTACCCATATCAATGTTAAATCCAGTGTTACTTCTTTTGGCACACAGATAACCATTGTGAAATAATATGTTTTTGCGCCTGTTTTATTATTTTAATCTCTTTATCGCTAATATGACAGTAATCTTTAGCTAAATTGATGGCAGACATTAGCAGATTCTCGATGATGGATGGCTAAAAATTAAAAAATATCGAATTAGATGAACGTACATTTATTTTGCCTTTCTATATGAATAAAACCATTCTATGAATTCTGTTGTTTTCTATCACTGGTTAATTCCGAAAACATCTTTCGTGTATTTGCACTCTCTTTCCAGGATATTTTTACTAATTTTATTACACATACATACATACATATATTAGGAAAAGAAAGATAGGATTGTTGTTTCGAAACAAAATGTCAACCATATAACATTTCTGGAAGATAATTTTTTTTAAGATGACGTTATACAATGCACTCAGTTGTAAAACTGTTTTTATTCTCAGAAAATAAATCTCTTAAAATAAATAAACTCAATTTTACAATCAAGTCTCTTGACGCCTGGATGTAATATTCACGAAATTCAAAATAGTGTATATTTTATTTTGTTTATTGGTTTTTTCTTTCTATCCATCTACACATAATAAAATTAAATGTACACTATTTTGACTTTATATATATATATATATATATATATATATATATATATATATATATATATATATATACAGAATGATGGGGCTCTCAGTGAGAACAAACTCACTACTCAGTCGTAATTTTTCTAACGAGACAAGCTTGCTAGCAAAAGGTGTTCCCCGCCATATATATATATATATATATATATATATATATATATATATATATATATATATATATATATATATATATATAGCAAATATAATAAATCCGTTGGTATATAACTCACGTGGATCCTAATGATATAAAATGTTAAAACTGATCCACAAGAAAGAGTTCAATATATTTATTATTACAGAGCAAAAATTAATACACAGTAAAATCCAAAATCCCCTCATATGGGGAAAAGCTTATGTCCACCTATGAAAATATAATTCGTCAGTCTCATCAACCTCGGTATAGACTGAGTTCGTGTCGGAAATAGAAATTTAACTGTGAAAGAAAAATATCACCAGTCGAATAACTAATACAGAATTTCAATGTTTCAGTCAGACGAAAGGCACGAGTGAGTGGTCATGGGAAGTGGAAGTGGAAGGTATTTGTCTTAAAGGGAAGGGGTTTTATAAAATTAAACCAGGATATTAACCTTATCACATTAAATTGGGATTATATGGAGACTGAAACGTTAATTAAAAACTAAAAAAAGAATAAAAAGGGGTTTAAAAATCCTTTAAAGTATATAAAGTTACATATAATATATTTTAAAAGTTGTTTTAAATCCCTTTTTGAACCCTCTTTTTATTCTTTTCTTAGTTTTTAATTAACATTTCATTCTCATAATCCCACTATTTTATATTACTGTTAAGGTAATAACAAAATAAGCTGTATTTTTCTAATTTTGCTCAGCTAATAAAGCATCAACTAATTATTTTCTGTAAAGGATGAGCGGGTAGTATAACGGTTATTGGTATAGAATGTGGAATCGGCGAACGGAGTTCTAATTTCTGCCTAGTCTGTTACGTTCACTTGCACCCATGTAAGTCTGTATAAGTATACCTTTTCTCTCCCACGGCTTAAATAGCCGTGTAAACTGAACTTTCTAGCCTTGGCCGATAAGCAGGTTAGGAAAAGGTCTACTTTGAATTAAAACTATGGATAAAACAGCAGAAAACCACGACCCAACTATTCCCCAAAAACATTACAGATCATAAATATTAAAAAGTCTGTGGTGAGCCATAATCCCTTATGTCCTGAAGGAACACAACATACAAATATTTCCATACAATCACATATAGATCATTAGCGTCATTTTTTTTCACTTTACTTTAGTGCGCATCTTTTACTGTCACGAAGTTCTCATGAAGTTTTGATTAATTGATTGATTTGTTTTTAACGGCTTATCAACCTTTTGCAGGTTATTTAAAGCCTGAGATTACTTTTAGATTGTAAGAATTCTTTTTGAGATAATAATGATTTACTGATGCAAGTACTCCTAATTAATCCATTAGTTGGGGAGACAGAGGCGGATCCGTACCTTTCACAAAGTTATTTGCGCGTACATTAATATAACAAACTCGACTGAAATTGGAGCTCGGCTCTCCGATTTCCATTTCCGAGTCGTCTTCCATTACACCAGCCGCACATCCAAGCTTACAGTACCTGGTATTTCCAAGGGGTCACCCATCTAGGTAATGGTCAAGGTCGACGTTGCTTAACTTCGCTGATCGTACGAGAACCGCGGTTGCAACATGATGTGGCTGTAAGCCCTTCCTTAAACAACACAATAAGAAAGCCGAAGTTAAAATATACTAGCAAGCTTTATCTTTCAGGCATAGTTGCTAGCTGCACTAGAGCACGATAAAAAGTTATTATCTTCTGCTTTACTTGGTCCCTCGTTTTAAAACATTAAAAATACATGGATTCTTTTTTTCTGTTTGAATTATTTGAGAGTGAGTCTCTAATTCTTGGAAATTATATTTACGCTTTATGAACACCATACAGCAACGGTTCGTTTTTACCTTCATTAATGCAAAATTACAAAAACTGAGAAATAACTCTTTAAAAAAAAAGCAGCCTTTTGTCTATCCACAGCTAAAGAAGGCTGTATTCAAATCGCCTTCTCTCATCTTCAAAATCAGGAACGATGAAACAGCACCTCCGTTTAAATCGATCCGAGGAGATTTTAATGGCATTTATTTGAGACGACACTGGTGCACGGGGAAAGAGCATAATAGCGAAGAGGAAAAACTGATTTCATAGGTAAGTAACGTATATACTCATATACAGCTAAAGACAGGAGATGTACACCTACCTACCTACCTACCTATCTATATAGAAAGTAAAGGTAAGCCGGGTCTGTCGAAAAGATATCCTTTTGCAAATGGATTTGTGTTGAATGAAACAGTAGATATTTATGATGGATCTTTTTCGAGCAGGCGAAAGCTGACATAGGGCTGTCATTTTACATCTTACGTTCATTCATTCTTTTCTTATGGCATGGTTTTTTTGGGGGGAAAAAATCCTTTTAACTCACCCGTACACCTGGATACAGTAACAGTCATACGTGTATACTTACCTATATATATATATATATATATATATATATATATGTATATGAACCGGGGTTTTTGTGTTTACATAAGTTCCCGGTCTTTTTAGTAATATTCACCATCTGATCCTAAAGCTACTGGAAATAAGATAGGCGTGCTGAAAGTGTAGCTTTATATACACTGAAATAGAAAGAAAGTAAAAAAAAAAAAAGAAAGAAAGAAAATTTGATTTGACCTCGATGCCAAAGATCAATAGTAGTTCCCATAGCAAACATGGAACTAGAAATCCGAACACTTCTTTTATTCGGGACACGGAAGTCTGGAACTGTCTAATAGTTCAAGAGGTCTTGATACTTTTGCGTTCATTGTAGAAATACAGTCATTTAACAGTTGCTATTTTCGCTTAGAAAAGTAACGCTTTTAATCATTTATTTTTTTTAATTTATTTACGTTATTTACATTGTTCAAACTGTTGTCCTCATCTTTATTGCCATATTCACGACATTTCGGCTGTTGTACGCTAGAGTGGTAAGTAGTAACGTAGATAAGACGTTCTTGAAATTAAAAACGTGTAGAAGGGAACGGGAGACTATTTTATTATGTCCCTAAATAAAATATGACAATTCAAAAACGTGAAAGCCGTTATTAGTTATATTCAGAAATATTTATATTTCATCGATCTAAAAGTATATATATATATATATATATATATATATATATATATATATATATATATATATATATATATATATATATATATATATATTTATTTATTAAAGACATTTTATATTTAACGTTGTTATTTATAGATACAAGTATTTAAGCAAATGCTCTGTTTATGATGAACAGTATTAAATAACGTCATTTACCGTGCCTTAATGTCAAAGAAAATATTTTCTTTGAAAATATTCGACATTCTTTGACAGGATAAATGTTATTTAATACTGCCTTATCCTGTCAAAAACCGAATATACGCTTAAATACTTGTCCTGTCAAAATAACAACGTTAAACATAAAAAATGTCTTTTAATAAATAAATTGTCGGACCTTGTCCATTTATATATATATATATATATATATATATATATATATATATATATATATATATATATATATATATATATATATATATATATATATATATATATATATATATATATCATGCCATGTTGATTTCTCTATCACACTGTTTATATATCCATACACTATCGTCGATACTGAACCGCATCCATTCCCTCAAAAATATAGCAAATTATAAACACTATAAATTCTATATATATTTTATATATGTACAATGCTTATTGGAAAGCTCTCAATATCAGTGATAGTGCTAACATAATTACTTGAATGGATATGAGTTTGTGACCGTCTGTTTCATGCTTATCCGATCCTCAGTCAAATTGCTTTATTTTTAAAATCTGAGACTATTTATGTCAGTTTTTGCTTGGCTATGTTTTGAATCCGTTCAACTAATTGAACTGTCTGTCTGTCTGTTTCTCTAATATGTTAGCTCTATCACTGATATTGAGAGCTTTCCAATAAGCACTGCACATATATAAAATATATATATATATATACAACTCTTGAAAATATATTTTCAATTGAGCACTGTTGAATAACAAGCTAATTCTAAAAACAACGGTCAACTGCGTAAATGCGAAGGACTTCAATATAATGAATGGAACACTTTGGCTTCTTGGCGCTTGTTTACGTTTGTAAAAACAATACGCTAGATTTGGCTGACTCATTCCGTCGATTCAAGATAGCTCAGTGGTAGAAACTCTGACTGAACCAAATCGGTTGAGTTTCGATCCGGGCTTGAGTTATTCGGTTTATATATATATATATATATATATATATATATATATATATATATATATATATATATATATATATGGGATATTTAGTAACAAAAGTGATAGAAACATAAACAAGAAGAAAAAGAGACTAAATAAAATCGGTTTAAAATTCTAAGCGCTTCTTTCGTTCGAACGCAAATATAACTGCATCAGTGTACACATAACCTTAGTCTGATGAAGTCTTCAAGGACGAAACGTGTCACATGAAATTCTCATATTATCATACATCTTTCTTCTAAAATCTTTCTTGAAAAACAATATATATCGTTTTCCCCCATAATGAGAGAGCTTAAGTTATATAATTTAAATTATTACATGGGTATATATAGCGTGTATTAGTTAGCAAGGTAGTCTTGTAGACAGTGTCATGAAATCTCTTTGTGTTCCCGACTGTTGATTTGAACCATTGTAAACTGGTGTTAGTAAAAAATTGGACAAGAATATTGACTCTAGCATGATCGGTATTAGGGAAAAATTCAAGATTCCGAAGGCCGATTTCAAAAATAAATATGACTTCCATACTTTAAATATTAGCGCAGAACAATTTGCTTGATAAATACTAATCTGTCTGTCTGTTTCTCTTTCTTTCTTTCTTTCTTTCTTTCTTTCTTTCTCTCTCTCTCTCTCTCTCTCTCTATATATATATATATATATATATATATATATATATATATATCGCAGGTTCGAATCCTATTCTGGAGCCCATATTTTTCTTTAATAAGATTTCTCGAGCATTCAGGCCAGTATACGAAAACAAATTAATATACTGCTTAATAAATAAATGGAACGTTTAAAATGATTTTATATATATATATATATATATATATATATATATATATATATATATATATATATATATATAAACAACATCTAAAATATTATTACAGTTAGATTTACGTTAAGAATATTCGAACGCAGTGGCGTTCCATATCACGTGATGTCCGCATCTCGCGACGGACGCTACTTGTAAACAAACAGTTATTTCTGAAGAAAGATTGAGGTCAATCTGAAATATCAAATAGATATATAAATAAATAAATACTTTCATAAAAAAAAACATTATTATTTTTTTAATTTGCAACTTTATCTATCTATCTATCTATCTATCTATCTATCTATCTAAAGAACAGTAAGATATATAATCCGGTGTTCTTATAGATATTTTTATTTTTACAAAATAGTGCTAATGTAAATTTACAGAGCATTAATATTATAAATCAATTAATTTATAATATATATATATATAGTACGATGGGTAAATTGTCACAATTTTATATTTCTAATTTTGCGCATGCGCGTTGTTTTTTTTTGATGTTGTCGCCTACACAATATAGCAGGGTCAGTTTGGCACCGTCTGTGACTAAAAGAACACAATGTCGACAGAAACGGCATGTTGTACTACTTGGAATTTGCGCCGGAAGCTCCAATACAAACATTTCAGTGTGTTTGGGTGTCAATATGAGAACAATACAGATGATTCGGGAAATCTTGGATAGTATATCCAGTCAACATCACAGTGTTTGGAGTGATCACAATATAGGGCATCAGACTCAACATCAATTGCCTGGTAGGAGGTAGTGCTGCCCTGGGTCAAAAAGGTGGCCACTGGAAGACCCTATGCACCATGCCACACAAGCAGGAGAACTCAGTTATGGCTGTCAGACAATTTCTGCGACCACATCTGGCCACCTAAGACCTCAGACTACAACCCCCTTGATTATTATGTATGGGGCGCAGTTGAGCGAGACATCAACAAAATTCCTTGTAACACTAAAGATAAACTGAAGGCAAGGATTATGGCAGCATTCATCAACTTAAACAAGGAGACCGTCTAGAAGAGTTGCAGAAAATTCCGAAGTCGTCTGGAGGCTGTGGTTGATGCCGATGGTGATTTTTAAAAATAAATTTACTCTTCTGTATTACAAGATATTTTTCTATAATTTTGGTAAATATATCTGTTAAAATGAGATGTCAGTGTTATTTTAATTTTTGCTTAATTATGAGGACAATTTATCCATCGTACCATATATATATATATATATATATATATATATATATATATATATATATATAATTTAAAATTTTAACTTAACAGTGATTAAATTTGGATTTTAAAATTTTATCATATAATTTAATAATTATTGGTTAGAATAAATTCTTTTTTTAATATTACCCCTATTTTAAAGATAATAGCTATTATAACATGACTTCGTTGTCAAGCTTTTTGAATTTTCGTATACTTGTATTTTGATTGGTCATTCTAGCTTTTGTAACAACGTTTTCCCCTTGCGAAGGATCGTTAATTAATTTGAAACTTTTTTTATTCGGATCCAAATAGTGACGTTCCATATCAC